CAGAAGCTAAGTCCAAGAATTTTAAAGATATATTAGTATTACTGCACTCAGTGCTGCAACACCTAACTCATTTAGGAGACCAAGGCTCCTGTTCAAAAGGGATTTAAACAGTCTGGAGCCTAAATCCTTTTGACTGCCAAGGGCATTTTAGATCAGAAGCACCTAAATCTTTTTTTGGAAATGAGACTTAGACATTGCAGTGCTGAGTACAGGAACACATAACGTAATGTGACATGATATGACATTTCCTGGGAAAGAAGAACAGGGTCAAGGGATGGAAACATGACTGGAAATATAATGAATCTTTCCATCCTCCTAATATCACCAGTTAAAGCTCCAAAAAATAAATAGGTTCCATTCCTCATTCCCATTATGCTTGTTGTTCCTATGCATTTCCATAAGGCGATGGAGGATAAAGGTTCCATCCAGTACCTTGTTTTAACTCTTGTGTACCACTCGGGGCCACCCACTTACTAGCCCTCCAGTATTAGTTCTGAAAACCCCAGCCCATATTGCAATAGCTTATGTATCAGGAAAACTCTAGAAGAAACTGATGGGATGCAAAGCTTCATTAATCAAAGAGAAGACTGTTTTTAATGAGGCCTAGAGGATGCTGCACCAGATGTGTAAATCAAGAGATAACCGCTATTGGAAATGTGGTGAGGATAAGTAGGACTCCATACCTCACCTTTGGCTCTGCTGAATAACTGAAGTATTTTGTTATCTTCTGAATGCCAATCCATTCTGCTCCACAGTAGGCTCCCAACCTATTGACTCTATCTGGGTTCTGAAAACAGGATTTGGCCCTCAGTGAATTCCAGGCTGTGCTTTTATACAGTCATTCTAGAGTGTGTTTTTGAGGTCTAAAAAGAAAATGCATAGCTAATCATTGTGGAATGATTTGGATTCATCATTACACTTGAAGCTGTTTAAGTTTCCTTAGCCAAAAGGAAGTCTGTCACCTAAATAACTGCCAATGTTATTTACTGCATTCATAGCACAATCAGTGTCCTATGAAAAGCAATACTAATGGGTTTTCAGTTGGAAGCACAAAATCATTAATTACTACTTGGCCACTTTTCTTTTCCCATCAGTGTGTAGTATGAATGCTTTCACAAAATAGTCTTGTTTCTAGATGGAAGTTTAATGATACAACAAGCAGTAAAGGGAAGAAGAAGTGATTTTAAAATTTTGTTCCCACATAAAAATGATGATATATTTCATATAGCAGATTACTAATAGCAATTGCATGGCTGAAGTGTGATTCTTATTATAATAAAATAATAAAACTAATTCCTAGCTCTTCTACAACATATTTCATCCATATATCTAACCTTTGTTCCTTGTTTCCTGCCCACCCCCCCCCCCCACGCCTTTTTTTCCCTTCCCCCTCTC